ATTCTATGCATTCGTCGGGGCGGCTGCCGATGTCACTTCTTTCTTAACACTCACTTGTTAAAATTACCCACGTGTGTTGTCGCCTGAGTAGATATTGTCAATCACCTCGGGCACATATACCCGCATACCAGTGGAACATACCCGCCCGCGGGTATGTGCCACTGGTATGCGGCGTGAAGTGTTTGACGACGTAGGCGACGGTATTGTGACATTAATTTTTGACCAGCGCATCAGATTCGTCCAAACCATCTTACTGTCCCATGCTAAGTTTGACTCACGCCAAGTTATGGGGGTGATCGCGAGAGCATCCAGACGTATGCAGTTAGATAGATAGATAGATAGATAGATAGATAGATGATAGATAGATAGATAGATAGATAGATAGATAGATAGATAGATAGATAGATAGATAGATAGATAGATAGATAGATAGATAGATAGATAGATAGATAGATAGATAGATATAGATAGATAGATAGATAGATAGATAGATAGATAGTAGATAGATAGATAGATAGATAGATAGATAGATAGATAGATAGATATAGATAGAGAGATAGATAGATAGATAGATAGATACGGACAGACAGACAGACGACGGACGGACGGACGGATAGATGGATAGATAGACAGACGGATAGATACGCTCGAAGTCGCCGAAATTGGCTAAGAAATGCTTCGCATTTGAAACAACAACAACAACGACGGAAATCGCTTGACGCAGACTCGGCTTGCCAGGGATGACTGTGTGACGTAATGCACTCTCCTTCTTCCGTGGCATTGAGAAAGGAGGCCATGCCGTAAATTTACGTGGAGAACCGGGCGCGAAATTAAGTTTGAACCATCCTGTTGTGGCTCTCCATGGCCAGAGGAGATTATTAAAAAAAAAATAGAAGTGTGGGCTTGGACGATTTTTTTTGTTTCTAAACTTTAGCGTTTACACGAGCACCCTTCCGTAGCATATAGACCGTCATCAAGTGTTCATATCTTGCTTCTGGGGAAGCGGTGAAGCTTTCGGATGTATCCTAGAAAGATGGATGTGGGTGAAAAATAATGCGTTATACTTTAATGCATGAACTAGTTACTCCCCTCTCCCCCCCCCCTCCCCAAAAAATACATTTTGAATCAGATGATGACCATTTTACTGGTCTTTCCGAACAAAGAAAATGAAAGGGAGCTTCTTTGTTGTCGAGAGAAGGTCGGTATTCGAACCCTCGACCGACGCTTTTTCGAAGTGATTGCTGTTTTACAAAGGAGCCTACGGCAAGATTCTCCTATGTCAAACTGCAGTAATCAAACGCTTCCCCCCTCCCCCAGCCCCCTTATAGAGAAATATGCACGCACCTATGCCTAAAAGACAAAATAGGCAGACATGATGCGATTTCTTGTGTCATTACGCCGAATAACAATACGCTCACTGACAGCACTGTTCAGTAGAATTGCAGTTTTACTTAAAATCACGTTTTACTAAGGCTCAGGTTGTTTACAGTTCGCGTGTTTCATTAAAGGCGGCAGGGGTGCAAGAAATGGTTTCATTTTTTTCTCGAATTCTGACGCTGAAGCTGGAGATGGTAGCACCACTTGGATGTTGGTAACGGTTATCATTGTTTTGGGACGTCAAACCCCACAAATCAATCAATCACTCAATCAATCAACGGTTATCATTAACTTATAAGCGAACGAACGCACGGCAAGATGGATAAAGTAAATGTATTTACGGGTTCTTTAAAATACCATCGCACCAGTATTTCTCACTACAGAATTGATACTGCGGGCCACAATAAAAACGAAAATGTAAAGTAAGAAGAAAGAACTCAGACAACAAACAAAACCCGCAAGATATAGCTTTTGAATAGTGATGCAGAAGAGTAAAAACTATGAATGTATGAATAAGCTTTGTCTAAAACTGGTTCGGGAGTTTTCCTTAGGACGAGGCGGTAGGACGTACGAAGCGGTAGGAAGAAGAATAAGAAGTATACGATGAGAAAAAATTGTGATATTAATGTGATAATATTTAAAGTTATATTAATGGCGCAGTGCGCGTGCGCCATATGACCCGAAACCCCATTCAACTGCAACTAAGAAGTCTGGTAGTTCAGTCGTGGAACCTCTTTCCTGGTGGACTATACACACGCAACCATTCAACCAACACGAAGATTTGTGTGTAAAATGCTCGCATTTGGACGTGCCAGAGACACGCCGGCTCGTCTGTATAGCTGTCATTGCTTCCTTCACAGTCCAATGATCCGCAATACATACGCAGCGCGTGCCTCACGCACGACAAGGCAGCAATTGAGGCGTGTCAGCCGCCAGGCAGATATGAATGTATGGATGAAATGCGACCGGTAAAACGAAGGAAAAAGAAGAGAGAGATAGAGAGAGAGCGTACTGTTCAGGTGTCGTCAAGCTATCGAGAAAAAGTAGAAGGGTGGGAAAAAAAAATGACCGTAAGGCACGAGACGAGTTGCGACACTAAACGGCCGTTAAGGCTCGTGTAGGTTACGGCAAGCGCCAGCCTGACTCGAGCGTAAAGTTTGTCCGGAAATTACCACGGCTTGCCGGCAGTGACAAATGACGCCAATTAGTGCTGCAGTCGCAGCTACGTGTAAGCTAGCGCATAGCTGCAAGCTACATTTAAGTTAACGTTGTTGACTTTAGGAAGCAAGAAAACGACAAAAAAAACAAACAACGAAGTATTGGTTATATCAACACTTTTTCTCTTTCATGCAGATTTTCTTTTTTTTTTCTTTTGCATTGGTTCTCATCAAACGCGTTTCACTGAGTGTGCTGTTTCAGGAAGAGGAGGCGACAGAAGACTAGGAGATAGTTGAAAGAACAGGCCACCTTCTCATACCACGGAGCGCCAAATATACGGGTGCCTCAGACCCATCCCTAGGGGCGGAAACCCGGTGGGTCCACGGCTGCGTTGAGAATCGAACCCAACGCCTCCAACACAGGAGGCGGACGCTGTATACTGCTTGACCTGTTAGACACAGCTGGTGAAGTTATTCCACCCTATCTCCCTTTCTTTCTTTAGGAGCGCTGCCATTGCAGGCAAACAATAGCGCTAAAGATTATGTCAGCCATGTTCGTAGTTGCCCAATAACCCTGAATGCGGCTGCTTTTCGTGTCGCGGCACTATTCTGTCATGACAAACGCTCTGGAAGGCAGCTCTGTCGATTACTCGAATTCCAGTTACCGGCTGAATAATTGGCACTTTCCGTGGTGGCTCGGTGACTGTGGAATTGAGAAACGGACTGCACGGGGTCGTGGTTTCGATTTCCTTGTTTCAATTGAGCTAAATGAAAGTAGCGGATCTTGTTGTTAGGTTTTAGAGCACCTTAAGTAATCCCGCGTTGTCAAAATGAATATGACGCTATACATCCCACGGCGTCTTTGATAGCTTCAATCCTTACCCCCTTCCCCGGCACAGGGTAGCCAGCCAGTCTAAAAACTGGCTAACCTCCCTGTCCTTCCTCTTATTTCCTTCCTAGTTCTCAATCTGGTTTCATTATACTAAATTCATTGAACTAATTAATTTCAACTAATTCATTGAACTAAATAATTGAACTAATCAATTAACTACCAGTGTTGACTTTTATATGTGCGATAACATATACTTATTTCCACACTGAAATATTAGCACCGCAAACCAACAGTACGCGAAAGGAGGAGACAAACAAGCGCAGTTTGTCTCTAATCCTTTTGCGCCCCTTAGTGTGCACTGCCAATATTTCAGCCGACTAGCCCACTCTTCAACCCTTCTGCAATGTATCTATCTATTTGATGACATGCATGAAGTGTCAGGCTAGTTCAAGGGCTCTGAAATAGCCCGACGACGGTTACACCCTTTACACTATGTATGGTAACGATGCCCAGTTGCCATTGTGAGCACGGGAAATCTCAACAGGAATCGTTGGTCTGCCCCACTACACACTTGTACAGGCAAAAGCAGCCAATTCGATTCTCTCGGCCGCGTTGCTTCCTATCTGAAATGCTATCCATGACAGTAGACTTTGCGGGGCCTGCAGTGTCTGTCCAACTGTTTTCAATGCTTTTGAATGAACTGCACTTGAATTTATCGAATAAATAAGCGCATTGTGAAAAGTATTAATTGCTGTCTTAAAATGCCAGAGAAAACGTTATGTCCCTTTCCCTACAAAGCATGCGACAAATAATGTATGGCGTTCATGTCGCCCACCATAATTAAATGAACGAGTTAATACATGATCTGGGGGTGAGATTCCCGAAGCTTATCTTTCGTAAGTACCGTTCGACACTTGTCAGCAGGCTTCGCTAATGATATGCTCAGTGTCACAATTGGTTGAACGTTTCTCTTATCAACAACTTTACTTTACATGATTTTGCGAACAACTTTGCCGAGAATAGTGAGACACGAGGTTCACTTGCACAGTTGCGCTCGCATTCGAATAGTCATTTTATCGAGTAAATAGTGCGGCGCGATATGCGTGACAGATGCTGCGCTAATCACCGGCGAATGCAAGTATGCAGACAAATGATTCCCCTTACTACCGTTCGGAACGTTCGTACAATTATGAGCTTTCCTTGCTTTCTCTTGTTTTTTTCTTTCTTCTGCTGTTTCGTTAGTCGCATGCTCATTGAACGCTCGCGTGGGAACATTAACACCAGCATAAATTTTTGAAACTGAACATCTTACACCGAGAAAAGGCGAGAATCGAAGAAGACGGATTTGCTTCGTGTATTCCCTCGCTAATCGAGTCGCGAGGAAAACATCCTTTTCAAGAGAGAGCAAGAACACATGCACGCTTTGGCATTCACGAGCAAATATTTTTCGGTGCCACTGCGGCGCAACCGGGTCTCCAATGACGCGATTGACCGCAGAGTCAATCCACAGCACAAAAAGGAAAGTGGGGAAAATGGCATGTGCGAAGACACACGGAGACATCAAGGAATCAGCTCAGTGGGAGGAAGCAACACCCACGCGCGCACGGGCTGTTACGGAGCGTCGCACGGCTCACCTGTGCAGCGTGTGGAGATCACTGGGAATCGGCGCGAAAGTGGGTCTGCGCAAGCCGCCACCACCAGGTCACAGTGCCGGCAACGAGGGGGGAGGTCTGCCGAATCTGTCGGCCGCAGCCAGTCTCCGCGCGGAGAGACAGCTCGGAAGAGAGTGGCAGCCGGCGAAAGGGAACTTCGCGCACTGCCGCTCCTCCGGCCGCTACGCAACCAAGCCGCGGTGACGGCGTCTGCTTTTCCCGGTGGCGGCGTTACGAACGAGCGAAGCGATGCTCTCTTCCTCCCACGTCTTTTCCTCTTCATTTTTTTTTTTCTCTTCCCTCTCCCCGCAAGTCTCTTTTTTTATTATATTATTCCTTTCCTACGGTTGGTTTTGCGGCCTTTCGTTTGCCGATTCGAACATCTCTCTCCGGCCCGTGTAGGCGTATCAATGTGTGCGCAATCAATTTCCCACCGCCGAAGGACACCTCGATCCTCGCGTTTCGGCACTGTGCCGTTTCCCTTTGCCGAGTGCACGCCTCTTCGTCGTTGTCTCTTCTCGCCTACCGTTTTACGCGCGCCAATCGCGCGCGTCTACGACTGCCATAGATGTCAGCGCCATTCATTTATCACTATTGACGAAAGTTGACCGCGCGTCGCGAGGGTGTCTCGAACCCGAGCCATCGAAGACTCGACGCGTTAATTTTTTGAGGGAGAAAAAGCCGCAGCTGACGTCACTTCGCACTTTACCACCAAGGTCAATATCGCCAGGGCTTTCTCTTTGAGCCTGTAGACTATTCTAAATAAAACATACGAGCGACACCAGCTCCGCTGTTAAGCGAATGCTTTCTTGTTGCGTATTTCGGCGTAATAATTAAGGTCACGAAGCATCGTATACAGCAACACAATCGTTTTCACGCGCACTCGTCTAGCGTAACACTGTTCGTTTAGCTGTTAAAGATAGAAAACACAAAAGTTAACATACCAATATGGCGACACTAAAACCTCTCCGTAAAGTAACCTATAGATGACGAGAACAACTAATGAAGAATAAAACTAAGCCTTGCAAGCTAATATGATTTGCCTTTGGGCGGCTCATTTCACAGTCGTTGTCGGCATCCGCAGCCAAGTTTTAAATTCATTTCAACGCGGCATATCGACATTGGTCGGTAGAACGAAAAGACAGCTATTATATGTCTTGTCCCATTATTTTGTTGTCTTTCGTACAATGCTTCTTTGATTCCATATCGGTTTCATATATTCTAAAGCTTCAGAGGTTGAAAGAGGTTGAAAGGTGGAGGGCAGTGTAGCGCCAGAGGAGAAGGAATAATGGGCGCAGCACACGGAACACTCATATATCATTTAGCAATGTAGTGAGGTATTATTTATAGCATTCCAATGAGCCGCGTAAATGCACAAAGTCTCATTTGATAATTAGCAGGAAAGTGGTCACCATGCTGGACGAGTGAACGCCCCCTTTTAACAGCTGGGGGCAATGACAGTACAAATCATTCCATTCTTTTTGGCACATGTGCCGCTAACGTGTTTATGTTTTGAACAACATGACTTTAGGAGGAAGTTTACATGGCTTGCGAATAAACGAGGTCGCTGAAGAAAGGCGTGTGGTATGCATATATCGGAAGTTCTCCAATAACAAGGGCCTGCCAATTTCCCTGGACTCGTTTGACGTCGTATATTACATTTGTCAGACCACCCCGCGTGCGGACTACTGTTCTGATAAAACGGGACAGGTGTGCACCTGCCATACGAGCTCCGAAAAATACCCGTGTGTCTACTTGTTGACCAGATAAAGGTTTTTTTTAGCGATAGATGTCGCAACATGGGCGCTGAGTTATTGGAGAGGTTCCTCGTAGATGACAAGATTGCCTCGACGACACCTGCCCGTTCACTGAACGCCGATAGCCACGACATTTCAAATGTTATCTCGTAGCACTCATGTTTCTTGCTGCCTTTCATCTGCCCTGAGATCATGTTAAGTTCATCGCCGGGTGCTTACAATGTTCTGTGTCTACTTCGAGTCCGCACCATATTTTGTGCCCCATTTACTTTGAAAAGAATTAGCAGTCAGCACTGGCAAGGTTGGGTAAGGTACATTGAGCAAGTACCACAACAAATAGAAGCCTAGAGTAACAGAGATTTGGGCTAGTTGGCACGTATTCAAACTAAAAAGACAGGGTGTGCAAACAAGGACACAAGGAAGCAAGGACAGGCGTTAATGGTGTCCTACTTCCTTCTTGCGTCTTTGTTTGCACGGCCTGTCTTTTAAGAAAGCAATTGAACGCTTTTCAGTAGTTATATTGTTATACTCCTTCCTCCCTTCGCTTCTTTCCCTCATTAGTTCTTACCCGTCGTCATGGTCTAGCGGTTATACTGCTCGACTGCACTCCTGAAGGTCACGGAATCCAATCGCGGCCGCGGAGCTTGAACTTCAATGGAGGCCAAATTCTACACACGCTAGATTTGGGTGCACGTTAAAGAACACCAGACGGTGACATTTCCTTTCTCTTTCTTTCTTTTCTTTCTCTTTCTTTCTTTCTTTATTTCTTTGTCTTTCTTCTTTCTTCTTCCTTCTTTCTTTCCTTCTTTATTTCTTTCTTTCCTTCTTTCTTTCTTTCTTTCTTTCTTTCTTCTTAATTACCCTCCCTGTAGTCTATAGCCCATCAGTGCAGTCTAAAACTCCACTTCACATGATTCAAATATTTTTTCTTACATTACGCAGTACTGTACTGAATAAAAAAAAGGCGCATACATGCTATGATGAAACAAAATTCGAAATCGACCACGTTACGCACATGACTAGCCCCTATGGAATATCTTTTCCTACGTCTGTCATGGCAGAGATCGCTTGCTAAAGTATACGCGGGTTCCACATCCGCGAATGAAGCGTGCCGATTACCCACCGCCCGGTATTTTACAGCGACAGATGTATAAGGCTCGGTGAAACGAAAAACTTTTCGCCTCGCGTTTCGATAATGGTCTCCATTGTCGGCGCCGTCAGTTACATCATCCTCTACGACGCTCCCGAGTGAGCGCGCTATAGATCGGTAGCGCCGTTAGTGGCGCCATTCTCTGCGTCGGACCCAAGCGCGCGTGCACCCTTTGCTGCGCCGTCGGTGACATCGTTCATCCCGTCGCAGCCGTGCCCTCGAGCCCACGCGCAGCAGTTTCAACTTACAACTTCCACATCGGGAGGCTACGAACCGTACGAACTCTCGAACAGCAGACAACTTTCGAAGAACAGCGCTGGCAGTAGATCTGTGCGAGAAGTGTTCGCCGGGCCGATGCTACAGTCCGGGCATGAGAACAGACCGGGGTAGACAAGCGCAAGCAGCAACAGCGTACCAAGGATCCGGCAGCCTTCCAAGCCACGTTCAATTGCTAAGCGGAGTGCAAGCGCCGATGGCGGGCGGATGCTTCTAATCACGACGACAAGCTAACTTGAGCCATATTGAACGCATGCGAGAACGGTGAGTCGAGGAGGTGTCCGTTGCAGGCAGAGTAGAGTCAATGTGGCAGTGGTACATGTAGTAATGGTGGGCACGCGTTCACCGGGGCCAACGCCCAGCTTTCGGCGGTAATTTCTGCAATGGCACTTTGGCTTCGACTGCGAAGTCTGCAACCGCCTGGCAGTGCACGTGTCAACTTCGCTGGTTAACCGTCTGACGGATTGCTTGGGTAGTGATTTTTGTAGAAAGAGCCACATTTATTTATTTATTTGTTTGTTTATTTATCTGTTTATTTATTTATTTATTTATTTATTTATTTATTTATTTATTATTGCATACCTGCATCGCCCTTTTGGTCATACAGTATAGAGGGGGTTAGATACAAAAATATACAAGGTAAACACACTCACAAAGCCTGGCAAAAATACATCGTTTTCCAAAATGTTTACAACGTCAGCCAATAGGGCATTCCACTCTCGACTTGTTGTATTCTCGCCGTTTCGCTGTAGCAGTTGGCCCCACGGCGAAGTAAGCTGTTGCCTAGCGATCGCAGCAGCGCACAGCGCCACTCTCCGCGCTATCTGGCGCGACGGCAGAGGAAGAGCAGGTGAAACCGCTTTGCAACAGCATGCAGAGGAGGGACCAGTGTTGTACTGTATCTATAAAATGGGCGACTCGACTGATTGATATGTAGGGTCTAACGTCTCAAAACCACCACTTAATTACGAGAGATTCCGTAATGGAGGACCCTGGAAATTTCGACCCCCTGGGGTTCTCTAACGTTCACCAAATTCTGAGCAGACGGCCATAAAGCCTTTTCGCCTCCGTCGCCAATGCAGCCACCGTAGCCGGGACTCGACCCCACGACCTGCGGGTCAACAGCCGAGTACCTTAGCCACTAGACCACTGCAGCGGGGCAGAATGGTCGGCTCGATGGGATTCGTCAGCAGATATGGAAAGTGAGTCGGAGACACTGAAAGAAACCAGCTTTCATGGTCAAAACGAAACTAACAGGAGGCAACCAGCCGAAGAGACAGAGAAAGGGCGAGCCGCGCGCCTCCAGAAGCGTAACCGTACAGAGAAACAAGAATAAGGTTAACCGTACCTCTCGCTACGCACAGCCAGGCATAACTGAGTTAAGCCACAGTCGAGTTTTTTCTTCATACATTTTTTTACAGAACTTTTCTTTTTTCAGAAATGAAGATCACGCCGTTTTGTACGACGTAGCTACTACATTAATACATTAGCTGAGCATCCATGAATTATTTGTCGTTCATATATTTGCTCCTTACCATCGGTCCACGACATTCTGAATTTATGTACGCGGCATAAGTATTGGCTTGAATTTTCGCTTGCCAACCCTTATAGCGTATGTGGAGCCTTTTTTTTAATACTAACCATTATCGTTCCTATAAATGCGAAGCTTTTCTTGGCGTATCAAAGGCAATTCTATCTATCTATCTATCTATCTATCTATCTATCTATCTATCTATCTATCTATCTATCTATCTATCTATCTATCTATCTATCTATCTATCTATATTCGATAGCATGTTACCAGTGTATATCTTGTTGCTGAAAAAAAAAAAGGGGGACTACAGCTCATGCTGCAGCTACTGTGATGGTCCTGGGTGATGATCCGACCCCCAGTATGCTGACAGGTCGAAACCTGCATCAGCGGATTGCCTTTGTACAGATACAGACGCCACACTGGAATTTCGCAGACACTTAGCGCCACCTGTCGGCGCAGTTTTGGGTAGTAC